AACAAATGGAGATTTTCCGGAATTATTTTATATACATTTTAATTGGATATTTAATCCTTTTTAAATGCGTTAATTTGGAAGTTACATTTATCGAATGTTAACTTTTTTCTGAGAAAGGGGTTTTTGGCTTTATTGTTTTCCAACTACATATTTTTTAATTAAAACAGCCTTCGTTCAAATGCCAAGAACAGAGCTATTAAATTTCCCTTCTGCTCATTTACATTCAAATATCATCCTAAGGACTTAACTATATTTCCCTTTTGCTTTATTTAGTTCATCTTTCGCATTTATTATATCCGAAGAGCTTGACGAAGGGAATTCTCCGGCTGAGCCATGAATTATATTCGGCCAACACAATGGGCGGCAAGGGCTCTCTTGGCCAGCAGATGCGTTGCCCATGGCTATAATATGCCCCGGGGCACTCGAAAAAGGATCGGGGCATAGCCGGGATATACGTATACTCACCGCTTTCGTTTACACGGCATTTTCAGCTTGAGTTGCTGTTGATTTAATTCAAGAGGCCATGCATTTCCAATGTCGAGGGCCCGTATGAAAAGTGTACAGCGATTCAAGGGATCTGTTATCCCCGCTTTTCCGGCATAATTGCTCGGCTTTTCGGGGGGCGATGCAAATACGAGTGGCATTGTAACATAATTTCCGTGCAAAATACATCAAAATGGACCATCGTGAAAATCTCCATTTTCATATGTTTGCACAGCAGTCTAAACTTCACACACAGGCAGATATGTTGATGTGGTTAGTTAGCATCTGTGTTTATATTTGTGTTTGCATTTTGCATTTTCTGCCGTCGAGTGGAAGGGGCTGAGGGGGCGTGGCATACACATGTCCATGTCCGTCACACTTGTCGGTGAACATGTAGTAGTGTTTACCTCCGTTCCACAACCCATTTTATCGCTTTTTTCTCTGTCGATTTGGCCTGGCACATTTTTGTTTGTTCAGCTACTTTTGCGGTTTGCCGCTTTTCGCGCACATTTCAACCACATTTGTAGTCACTCCGGTTTTGGAAAAACGCCAAAAAAAAAACGAAACAGGGGCTCCAAAAAAGAATTCAAGTGCCTGAAAGAAGAAAGGCCAACGAAACTTTTGACTACCTTAAAGTATTATGATCTCACTTTTTGAATAGTTGACAAAAGCATGAAACAAATTTTATAATTACATACATTTGTGGCATATTGATCGCCCGGGAATCGCCTATTTATAGTCCGCAATGAGAGCGCCGCAGTTTAGATAGCCACTCCTCGTTTAATGGCTCATCATTTGAATTTGGTTGGGCTCGATAATCGCGAGAGCGCAGGAAATGAATTAGAAATGCCGGCAAATTGAAACGCATTACCATACAAATCTATAATTTCCAACGAAATTAGAGTACATTTTTATCGCAATGCGATGTTTTTCGAACTTTTTGCGCCCGCCTGTGTGTGTGCGGCACTTGTGTGTTTACGTACGTACCATGGGGCGTATGCGCAATTTGATGTGCTCGCAATTCAATTAAATTCGGCAAATTAAAGCGAACCGGTATAGCTGAAGTGAAATTTAATTGCATGGGGGACCGATTCCCCTTTTGCTCTCTGGCTTTTCCTCTCTGGGGAGGTCAGGGCAAAATGCAGCACGTATTTATTAGCTCACGTGCATTGATGAAGGTCGAACCAGCGAATGCGTGATCCACTGAAAGAGGGGGAAGGAATATGGGGGTGGTGGGTTGTTCGCTAGATGAGAGGTCCTAGGAAATGGCAAGGATTCCCTCCGGCCGCTGATTGACTCACGATTATGCAATAAAACAGCAGACGGCAGGCAGGACAACACTCAAATCCCCGCTGAGACAAAGGCCTCCTTCCGTTGTCCTTCATCCTTATCCTCCTCGTCTCCCTTATTTGCCTTGGCACTTTGGGTGTTTGCGAGGGTTTCATTGGCTTCATTTCAACAGCAGCTTTTCAAAAGCTAAAACTTTTTTATGTCCAACTCATTAAAAATGTGCGCCAATGGACTTTATGCAGGCCAGTCCGGGGATCCTTGATTCCTCTCCCCTACGATTTTGGCTCAAGCTTCGTTCTGTTACCACACATACACATTGGTATATAAACAGAATCGGGGCAAAAATACTTCAACATTGAAAGGAAAATTTCAAAACAATTAATTACAAATTTAAAATTAATTCACATTTTATGCTGCTTTAAACACCAATCATTTCTGAAGTAACAAATACTTAAGAAAATAATCAATATAATTAATTAGTAATTCTAACAAAACATATATAAATTATTTTTCCCTATGTATATTTTCGGCTGTTTCCGCTTGAATTTCTCGCCTTTTGCCTGAAAGCCAGCGGACGAGCAAGTTGAAGTCAGAAAGCCAAATGCAATTTCCAAGTTTTTAATGTGCGAAATTTCTAATTTAAGATTTACGATATTTTTATGTCGAATTACGTACCACCCGGCATTTCCATCCCCATTCGCATTCCCATTCCCATTCCCCCGCCGTTGATGTTCGCTCATTTTCGTGCTCTGGTGTTTGGCTGTGAATTCTTTTGGCCAGCTGCTTTATGCCCACTCGCTGGGAAGTTGGCCCTGCTTTTAATGGAGCCCCAGAACTCGGGACTCTTTAATTGTGGAACTGAACTGAATTGTGCGTAATGCAGGCCACGCCGGATGGGTATATTTTTGGGCTCTTAATTATGGACACGCCCAAAGGTCAATGGTCGCCTTTTGATGCAAATTTTATGGACTGGAACTTAATTGGCCCCGGACAGAAACCCGAACCCCAACCCTAACCCGCTTTTGAATGGCCCACACACACAGAAAAAGCTGAAAAATCTGCCGCTGGCAAATAAAATGCCCTGTCCAAATTGTTTTGCGACTGACCAATTGACTAAAACCAACAAAAATTTGTAACTGGTGCAGATTTAATGTGCATTTGTTTTTGCCACGGTTTGTTTTTGTTTTCGAGAGGGGTGGTGGGGAGGGGAATGAAAGGATTGCTGGATGAAAGGGTGAAAGGTCAGGGGAAGGTTTGTAAACGCAGCAGCGATTGCAGCTGCAGTTTTGTTAGTTAGGGCAATAAATTGTTAGCTCCATTCGGTTTGCGGGATTTTCGGAGGTTTCGGGGGGCAGGGGATGTGTCAGATGCAGAGATTGCATAAAATAAATTGGTCAGCGATTGATTTGGGGGATTTGCCGAACAATTTATTACCACCGAGATAAAGGCATTTGAGTGTCAACATCAAAATGGCAACATTCCATTCCAGTCGAATGCCCGACCCAGTCAAATATTTTTCCCTTAATCCTTTTTGCGTGACCTACACGGAAAGCATTTTTTGTGAGTTAAGGGTTTTCGTGGATTGAATTTTTAAGGGATTTTCTTAGGGATTTTAGGAGCTATAATTATCGCATATTTAAAGAAAGAGCATTTCAACTTCTACAAAATTAATTTCAAATACTAATTTTTTTTTGAATTTAATTTCCCTTTTCAAATAACTAACTTCGTCGAAAAATTTTTCCTGAGTGAATCTTTAAGGGCACATTTTACAGCACATTAGGCAGACACCCGATTCGAGAGGAATTTAAACCGCTTAAGTGAAAAGAGAAGCGTCGACACGTGCTCCATTGGCCAGACAGGGAGACATGCGGATCCCCAGCGGTGGCCGAAAAAAGAAACCGCAAAAACCGTATCTCAATTGCAATCACTCAAAACAACGGAAATGACGCTTAGCACAACTTCCTGTTCGCTTCGGCGGACAAGCGGACAAACGAACGGACAAATGAAAGTATCCACAGCTACGGGACGACGCGCAGCACCACCCAGCCACCACCCACCAGAATTGTAATTCATGTCGCTGGGGGAGTTTTCTTTTTTGGCATATTTGTCAACTCTGTTTCCACTGCACACATGATGAGGTGGGCAGTGGGTTGGGAATTGGGTACTGGCGGTGGGGTTATGGGGGGCGGTGGTGCAGGAGTTTAGGGCCGCCACGCCCATCAGCCGTACACCACTGACTGGCACATTCAAGTGCAATTTCCTTGTAATGCGAAACTATGTCATTTTGGCACGGACGCGAGCCGAAAAGCAGTTCCAGGATGCCGGATGGGGCCCTAGGTACAGGCAAGCCCCATAAACTATCCTGAAAAATTAAAAAATGTATTTTCAATTAAAAAAAAGATTTTTGCTATAACAATTTATTATTGATAACAATAAGAAATAGGAATATTTCCTATATTTCGACTACCTTTAAAATTATTATAGGTAATGGAATTTTTCTAATGTATTATAAAGAAATTAAAGAGTTTTAGTAACTCTTACATTATTATTGAAAAGTAAGCTAACATATATAAAATCTTATTGAATTACACCCTCATTGGAAAACCAACTTATCGACGTTTGCCTGTATTTGTTGGCAGCGCGTGCATGCAAACATGACACGTTGGCGCACTTGTGATGGCACTCGTGTCCACCTGGCAGCCGGCTCCTGGCACTTTTCACCCTGGCGATTGCGATTGCAGCTGCAACCGGATGCGGAACCAGAAGCTCTGGCTCTGGGCTCTCGGCTGATTCTGATTCTGACTCTGACTCTGAGCTGGAGCCGGAGTGCCGAAAATAGCCGGCAACAACCGGCAAGCAAAGTGGCAACTAGAGTGACGGGCTCTGGGTCTCAGGGAAGCGATTCTGGGCGGAGGCAGAGAGATCCCAGGCAGCCGGGCTGACAGGCGGCATTTGATAATGTCAGGCCCCAAATCAGCAACAGACACCAGCCAACTGGGGGACTCGAGAATCGGGGGTGGACAATTGCACGTTGCGATTTCAGCCGGTTGCCACTTGGCCGGGCACACATGGCCATCCCATCTCAAGTGTCTGTCTGGGCCATCGTCGAGTGCGGTTTGTCTGGTAGCCGATGGCCGATGGCAAAACTAAGCAACTATAGTTTAACACTTGCCCCCCCATTTCCTTGTAATTGCCGCTGAATTTGTCTCCGCTTTTTGTCTTTACAGAACAGTTTCACATTTTTGTGGGCGATCTGAGTGCCGAAATCGAGACGCAACAGCTGAAAGATGCATTCACCCCATTCGGAGAAATATCGTAAGTACTAAGTGAACGATAATAAACTTATTATTTTATGAAATAATTTTAATAAAGATATTTTTATAAAATACATAAATTTCTAAATAGTGCTATTCATTCTGATTTAATTTATAACAAGGATCCTGGCTACTTACTTCTTAATTAGCAAAAACCTTTTCCACCATCGATCCATGTTTTTCGGCCAGCACATTAACTCCAATCAAAGAACATTTTGCCGCACTTGTGCCGGCCGAGCAAATTGTTAAATAAACAAACAAACGGCAAATGAAGTCCCCCGTCTTTCTGCGCCTAATTTATGAATAATTAGCGAGCCGAGGGTGCATGTCGAAGGAAACCGCGAAATGTTGGGCCACAGCAACGTGAATTTCTCTCGTTTCTAGCTTTGCTTTTGTTTTTTTTTTCCTGCTGGCTTTCTGCTTCTGAAAATCACGAGTGAATGGTCCATAGAAACGTGGGGCTCCCGAGCAACGGGCAATAAATTAATAATTTAATTTTCGACTTTTTTGTTTGAGCAGCAAAGAGCAAAAAGCAAAAAAAAAAACAAGAAAGGGGGAAAAACAAACTGCAATAGGGACCGGGACCAGTTGAAAGCCACAAGCAGCTGTCGACGCCGGGGCAAACAAATGATGCCGGGCGAGTGGCCCAAAAAAATATTAGAGCAGAACAAGTGAAAGCAAATAAAACTGATTTATATACATACCTGTACAGGTGGGGAATACGTATAACTTGCCTTACCTTGCCGCGCCTTACCCTGCTTATATATATATATTTTTATGCCTGCTGATCAGGTCAGCAACCAAAAAAGACGTCATGGGAGCGTTTTTCGCAGGCTTTTCATTTGCCACTTCCTTAATTAATGAGCATCAGCCTTCGTCTCCGTCTTCCATTCGCCCCTCGCTATTTGCTCACGGTTCTTTTGAGAAACGTTGAACTCATTTTGCCAGAAACTATTTATTCGAGAGCACACTGGGAAAAAAAGTATAAAAGAAAAATGCTAACGATATAAGGGCTTAAAGTTTAAAATACAGGTTAAGTTAAGATTATATTTTGTATATTCTAGAATTTAAAGTTAAATAAATTTTAAAAACTAAGTTGAAAAGATATTTCAAATTTTAATATTAATTTCTGAACTGAACTAATTTCTAAAAATACATTTTTTTCTTGTGCATTGTCAAACGTTTATTTTACATTTTGAGGGCTTGGCCTTTTGAAGTGCCTGGCTTGGATTTTTGGTAGCGGTTTATCCCGCGGCCCGGCATCTGCAAATACTGTTCTTCCGCATGTTTATTTTATAGCGGGAGCAAATCTACGAAATAATTACATTTTTCATCTACACCTGAAGTGGTTCCGCGCTGCCTGCGGGGCCCAAGGAATCCAAGGAGCCCGCTTCAAAGACATCCTCTTGCCAGGACATCCTTCCATCCTCGCCTGGCCTCTTAATTTATTGCTCTTTATGCCTTGAGTGCCCGCGTGGGAAATAATCGCAAATATGTTGTCGTCCCATTCCCGGCATTACCTACTTTTCATCATCAGGTTAACAGCACTCATGGGTGGATTTTTCATTTGGCAAGCTAAATTTATACAACAATCTCGCCCCCAGACTTGAGCTCGTTTTTAATTAACTGGCTTAACTTTCCAACTGCGGCGGCGAACAGTGGAAACTTTACAAAGTAATATGTGTGTGGAAAATTCACCATAACCGAAAGTTTTTGTGGTTTTAGTTTGGCAGACGGGCGATGCACAGAAGACAGAACTCATTATGAAAGTCGATGGAAAATTATTGAAAAGGAAAGGCTGTGCGGCGGAAACAAAAGAAACTTAATCCCCCAATTAATTGCTTCCCTTTGGCAATCGCAAACGCAATCGCAATCGGAATGGCAACCGTAATCGCCCTCATAATCCCTTCAAAATAATTAAGTCTCTTTGAGTTTCCAAATCAATCAACACCTTGTGCTTAATCAAAACCACCGAGCGCACACTTGTCCACTTTCCCAGCAACAGAAGCGGTAGGAGCATCAGACAATTTGCCTCTGGGGCACCACTAATATATAGTTTCCTTATCGCAACTGTTTAATGGACTGGCACACACCAAAAATCCGATTAGACAATATAATGCCGAGGCGCTCATTCTTATAATGGCCATAAAACACAAGGCCCCGGAGTGTGCTTGCTTTAATGCAGCTAATTAATTATTTGGCTGGTTCGAAAGGATCAAAATGAAACTCAAACCATAACCACTTCTTGCTCGGCCAATTAGGGTAATATTCGCAGAAACCAATCGACTGCAGCAGCCATGGCCGAAAGTGCCAAGACGATGACGGGCAGTTCAAGAGGCAGTTCGATATATATGGCATATAGCATATAGCATACATATAATACCATAGTCGTGACCGAGCACAAAACTGAAATTCAATTATCCGCCTGCGGTGGGCGGCTCAAATTGCGTCTGCTTGTCGATGCAGTCGCCGCAGCCCAAAAACCATAACCAGATAGCACAGAATGCCATACTCCTGATTAATCACATGCAATATGTTCTGACCTGACCCCTCCTCGACTTGGCACTCGTTGCCAGCCGTATTCATAAATAAAACCAGAATCCGATTCGGAATCAGAATGAGAATCGGATTCGGAATCATGAGTGCCGAGGAGAGACAAACAAAGAGGCCCGGCACAATGGGCAAATTGATTAGCGAGCGGGACATGGACACGTCCTGGCCATTTGGCCGGCAGGACCTTCCACTGTGGGTCCTTGCCTGATTAGTTTCCTCGATATTGTTGCCGCCTCTCATAATTCAATTACATTTTTGTGCTGCCTGGCTAACGAGGCCTTCTCGGCCTGTAATTGGCAGCCCTTCTAGCTTGTTGCTGTTTGCCGCCTTTCATTGTCGGCCACAAAAGGCTTAACTTGGCCTTTTGTGCTCAAGTTTGGACCAAACAAATTTCAAAATTCACAAGGAAAAAAATCACAGTGAAATGTGGGGTATTTCAACATGACGTATATAATAATTTTAAATTTTATTACCTAAATATTTAAAAGATCATCAGAACTTAACGTTTTTTTTAATAGTATATTTAAATCTTTTTTTAAATCCCTTTTTTTCCCTGTATAACCTACACAAAACTTATGCTGAACTTGTGTGTTAAAGTCCTGAAGAGGTTGCCGGAAAAAAGCAAAGAAATCAACAAGATAATAGTTGATAGTTGCGACTGGGAATGGGAATGCGAATGGAAATAAACTCGCTCGCTATCTCGTTTGCTTTTTTTTCGGTTACTTTTAATGACACTTGGAAAAGTTTTGATTTTGGTTTGCTGTCTACCATCTCCAGACTGCAGACTGCACTCCTTTGCCACCTTGCCACGACGTCATTACGTTGATGTTCCTTCTCCTTCCCCATTTTTTTGTTGTTTTTTTCGTTTTAACGGGGCATATAATTTTGTCGCCCCGTTTTAGCGACAGCTCTCGATTGGGGCAATGCTGAAAATGAGCAAAACTTTCAACTTAATCTATTCAGAAAGTTGCCTCAGCTTCAGCTTCAGATTCAGCTCCACCGATGGATTCAGCTTCTTCGGCCTCAGCCCTTTTCATAAACTTCAAAATGCGCTTGTGCACGTCGTCAAGTTAACTTGGCTCCTTTCTGCAGTTCTGCATTTCTGCAGTTCGACTTTCAGTTGCCGAGAAGAGCGGGAGAGAAAAGGGGAAACGGAAACCAATGATCGGCGACAAGTGGGCGGCGGAAATGGTGGAAAAGTTGAGCGGCCCGCGCCATCTAACTCTGCTCTTAAGTAGGCGGCGGCTTTTGTTGCGAGGCGGCGAGTGACAAATCAAAATCGCATTCAAATGCGACGCGGCGTGCAGCGGAAGTTAATGCGAAAAACTTTTGCCCCAAAACGCGCACAATCAGTCAAGCATCTCTCCTTGGCACTCTTCGCGATTTCCCATGCACTTAAAAAAAAGAATGTGAGTGAATATTTAGAATTCCCGATCAAGTTTAAAAAGTAAGTAAAGAATAATTTAAAAAATTTAATCGCTTAGCCTATGAAGTTGAAGCATGAGAAGCATTTTTAGCGGGATAAATATCCACGCACTCGGGTGAAAAGTGAAAGGAAGTGTGGTATTCAAAAAATAATCAACAACAAATTTGTTATCAAGGGATAACATAAAAATTATATCAATTTTTATATATCTTTCAAAAATGGTTTTTATTTGCTGAAAATAACTTTCAGATTTTTTCATTTACGATTTTTAGAAAATTGTATTTACTAATGCGTATTTTTCTCTCTGTGACTTTCCCGGATTTTCTCTCAATCCTTCGCTCTGTTTGTGCGTAGTGTGAAAAATGAGTCTTGGCAGTTTGTGTTGCAGCCGCAAAAGCCTGACACTTTTTCATGCCGCCTGCGACGATTTATATTTGTGGCGAGTGTCAAAAGTTGGACCAAGTTCTGGCGACTTTAAAGCGCCACTCAATGCAAATTAAAGCAAATTGAAATCGGCTCCGAGTACATTCGGCTGTGTAAACTTTTTAATATCGTTTTAATGGCCGGCAAAGTTTGCACAATCATTAAATGGCAAACAATTTTCAACGTTTTCAATTTGTACAGATTGTGTATCAATACACACAGGTTTAATGCTTAGATAATAGACAGAAGGCCAGCAGGCGGCGAATGGTGGTGGCGACTTGGGTCCTGGGGCATAAATTTATTTAATTTACTTTCATGCCGCGGCAAAGGCGACGGCAGAGGCAACTTTGCCCATAAAATACGCATTAATTCATTAAAATTGACAAAGGCGAAACACGAGTGCCAAGCACGGTTGGCTGCCTTTTGGACAGTGTCTGTTGCCAAATGCCGGGCAAACTGAGCGAACTGAATGACTGAGTGACTGACAATGTCCTGCGTTTTTGGGGCCAACTAAACGGAGCCAAAACAGTTTGCAAAACGGCGCCCCACAGCGGCTAAATGTATATAAATAAAAGTGCTTCAGTCGCTGCGGAGAGGAG